ACCATGCCGTTTGATGGTTGTAAGATCAGCACCTTTATTGGCCAATAAAGTTGTTGAAGTGCGCCTTATACAATGGCCAGTATATGCTTCTGGATTTGCGATATTCAGGAATGAAGCAACTATTGAGGGTACCTGCACCAATGTGCTGTTTCCAACAGGCTACGAGATGAGAGATGTCTTGTATTATGTTCCTTTAGACAATTTTATAGGACTTTTTTCGAGTAAAAATTTTATTTACTTGGCCTATTAAGTTTTTAACATATACTTTGTTCCCTTTTTTCCTACCAATATGAATTAATTAATAGGTAAAACCAACCAGCTTCTTCATGCAAAGAATTCTCTTTCAAATATTTTTTTTATCATGGGAAAATTCAAATAAAAGACATATGTTGTCACTAATCGCAGAAGCCGCGCTTGACCCTGGCATGCGTGATTAACATTGACATCAAAATCTGATACACGGTATTAATCCGATTGAACCTGATACAGATAAAGAAACCTTTTATTGGTAAACCTCAAATCAGAAAGAGTATACACGGTATTTATATTCAATAAAACTGTTTTACGTTACACTCTTAAAGCGTAAACAATTGTTGCATTGTTGAGATTTTAACAATAGCGTTTAAAGGAACAATCGATTGATAAAAATAGGAAGGTTTAAAGGCCATCGAAACCTGTAATTTTGTTATTATTCTGTTTGGCAAATGAAGACTTATTTAATTATTTATGAGCTTAGTCTTTAACCTGTGGCCAAAAAAGTAATGGCCCTAGAACGGATCCCTGAGGCATAAAGTTTTTTTTTTTGCGTTGGCCATGATCTCCTCTGTAACCACATGATCTCGGATTGTTATTTTAGTGCAAAGTGTTAATGACGATATTTGAAATGTGCGGTTTTCTGGAACAAGGATGAAATGTGAAAGGTTGCCTGAAACAGGAAAATTTTTTATTTTTTCAAAAATCACTTGCTTCCCCCATTTTTTTTCGAAAATTGATAACAACTTGGAAACTGTCACAATTTGGCCTGAAGTACTTTGAATGAAATTAGTCTAGAATTTGCCGTAGAACTACAAAATGCATAAATATACAGAGTGTTCCTTTTGAAATAACAGAGTTGACGATGACTTCCGGTATAACCGGAAGTGCGAGGAAGTCGAAACTATTTTCATTGAATAGATCTTTTGGATAAACTCTTATAAGCAAATTTTCAGATTTCAATTCTGACTACTCTTTGAGATAATCCTAGTGGGCCCTCTCCGCGATACACCCTGTATACTTAGGCATATCAATACATTTGGGCAAATCGCAGTGCAACTTTTTTAGTGGCAGCTCATTTATAATATGTACCTTGAGAACCAAATTGATATATTTTTTAAAGTTATCAATACAATCAAGAAACAAATTGACGTCATTAAATCGATTTTGTAATACAATAACTGCGTCTCTAAAAAATTGGATAACTCATCGTTCCAGCAAGAGAAATAAGTTTGTAATATTGTGTTAATTACTCCAATAATGGTCATTTCTTACGTCGGGTAGAGATCTATAATTTATCGGGGAAGGTTAAAAACTCGTCATTATGTATTTCAGTAATTGATGACCACAATTTATAATTTTGTCGATAAAATGCTTACGTGATCACTACTTTTTTTTTCAAATTACCAATCATACAGCAAGACGAATAATCGATAATTTTGTTTTATTATTAAGTAGTAGGTCATGCAAATGTACGCAATATCAAATAATCACTTAAACTACTTCACAATACGTGATAATTATTCTTTGTAAAGTGAAATGATCTCTAAGCAGAGCATCAGCTGTTTTGAAGCAAGTTATATTTAATACCTACTTAATATGTTGGACACAGCATGCAGGTAAAGTACATTCATAAATTTAAGAGAATGACTACCTGAGTCGACCTGAGTTCAGCGGAGAATTAGCTCAGAAGACTTGAGTTTCTGTGGTATAAGTGTGCTTCAAATTTAACTCCTATTTGGGTTGCCATGAAGCTGAGATGTTAGAATGCTTGTTTGTAAACCAGTTAATTTCCAATATTCAATGAAACATTGTAATTGCCAAAGTTAAAGTAAGTAAAGAGGTTATCGAGTTCTGCAGTGAAATTATGCAAATTGTAAAGAAAGTGTACTTAACACAATGTGAAACTTCACAGCAAAAAAATTAGCATGGAGAGGATAGAAAGGATTTTCTGTTCGCGTCCGATTTTTCAAGAAATAAACTGAAAATCTGGACAATGTAATAGGTCGCGTAGAATATAACCCAATTTTTAAATCTACACGAAATGGTTCCAAAAAATTTGCAGATAGCAAACTGTTAATTATAAATTAGGACAATCCTCAAATACGTCCTATTTATCAGTAAACGGAGCTGAGAGGAAATCACGTTAAGATCGTCAAATTGTTTTTAATCCACTAGTGGAATAAAGTAACTTTATTTCACTAGTAGAATAATGAAAAAATAATAACCTACAATAAATCAAATTTAATTTATTTACTTATTAACATTTACATCTATAGTAATAGAAATTTAGTTTTTTGTTTTATCACATTTAACTTCCTTTCCGTTAATAACAACCCTTGTAGCATTGTTGCCATCATTTTTAAAACGCTTAACATCTGCCGAAGTTTGTGAAGAACTTGCACAAGTTACGGATGTTCCTTCTTGTAAAGAAGAACTATATTTTCCTTGGATTTTCCTTGCAATATCAAGTTTGTTAGATGTAGACTCCTTAACATAACTTTCTGCTACAGAGGAGTTCTTCTATCTACCATGCCGTTTGATGATTGTAGGATCAGCACCTTTATTGGCCAATAAAGTTGTTGAAGTGCGCCTTATACAATGGCCAGTATATGCTTCTGGATTTGCGATATTCAGGAATGAAGCAACTATTGAGGGTACCTGCACCAATGTGCTGTTTCCAACAGGCTAAGACGTAAATTTTTATTAACGTATCTTAAAAAAAATTTTTTTGTCTTTTGCTAGGCGAATTGGACGCAGAGAAATGTATTTTCTGCATATTTCAACAGCATTTACGCAAAATCCTTCTTATGTAATTGTATATTTTCTTGAAATGCCCGTCTTGGCGTCAGGTATTGAAACAAGTAGGTAACTGCCAACGTCCTGTATGTCACTAATTTTCAAATTTGTCAATTCGCAGCATCGACAGGCACCAGAAACCCCCATCATTAGTGCAACCAAAAATAATTCAAAGTTCACAATAAACCTAACAATATGTAAAAGGTAAAGAGATATACCTTAATCATTAAATATTCTTTATCGGAAGGCCCAGTCAAAAATTCTTCAATATGTGTTGGTATTATGTGTATAACTAAAACACTTTATAATTAAAAGATATTATTTATTCACTTATTCAGATATCACACCTATTCTGAATCAATCAAAAATTATCAAATTGAAAACTTAAATTCTCTTTTAAGCTTAGTCCTACAATATACCTCTGTATGTTTATAAGCATTTTTAATTTATGTTCAAGAGCCCTTGAACCTTCGGCTGAGAAATATAAACACATTAAAAGTAGGCATTAGTATGTATGGATGGGAATGTTTTTGTATACGTAACTTGAGTATCTTTCAACAATATGTGCTCTTTCCAATACTGAAGCTGTTTTTGCTTTGTATTTAAAAAATGCGATATTATTACTTTTTCATTTATTGTCATTACTCTCCCTTTTTCCTCCATTCGTTAAATTCGGCGAACACTTTTTCGCAATGTTCTCGGGATTTCGCTGGCAATAAATGGAAAATTGCTGATTGAGCTTCTTCAAATACAGCCACAGAAACACAATTACTTGTTTGCATTTTTACCAAATTCAGATAGAACTGTTTATTAAATAATTGATAATAAACTAGTAAGAAATATTAAGTCGTGCGAATGTTTTATTTATTAAATTCCAATAATTCTGACTCCACAAATATAATTGTGATGTGATTATGTATAAAACGTTGTATTCCATTCGTGTTTTAATTGCCTTTTATCCACTTAAGGATATTAAACGCCCAAACTATGTTCTCGCGTTTAAACATTCTTGCGTCGATAAAATGCTACTTAACACACTTATACAACAAATAACAATTATAATAGTATTAAAAACGTTATTAGCAGTTAATAAGGAAAAGTTACTAATTTTATTCGTGTAAAAATAAAACGTAAGACGTAAGTAAAAACAAATTACCAACTTTTTGGTTTATATTTTAAGGATTTTAGGTGGTACTAAATAGAATAATTTTGGAAGAAAATATATGAATTACTTATATGTCATCATGTGTTGCAAATATCATCTTAATTAACAGAAAAAATTACGGATATTTTTCGTTGCCATTGCTTTTGACAAAGACTTCTACTTTTTTACTTAGAACTGGTTTAACAGGTAGTGTTCTTTCAAAAACAAAAACAAAATTACCAGATTTCCTCTTTTAAATAACATATATTTTAATATTGAACCTATATATGTTTGTTAGTAGTCGATTATTGCCCCACTTTCCTTAAATACCCAATTGACCCACTCCACTACTGACATTAAACACACTATCTCTCACATTTGCTTGTTTATATTTTTTTCATTAGGTCAACGACCGAGCGCTCGACTAAATCTCGTTTTATGATAACAGGATGAGGCCGATTTAAAAACGTTGTAAACTTGAACTTAGCGTCAGTCTGTGCCGAGATGGAACGCTGGAGAGGTAAAGTGGCGGTGGTGACGGGAGCCAGTGCCGGTATAGGGGCCGCTATAGCAGAGAAATTAGTGGAAGAGGGTTTGCGGGTAAGGGATAATTGTACTTTGCAGACGGCGTTTCTAAAATGCATCATATATCTTAAGGGGGTGATTCGGCGTGGTTAAATAATAACGGTAGTTAATGTGGATTATTTTTCTAAATGTCAATTGTTTTCTAGTTTCAAATTGTTAAAGTACAATTTTTTAATTTAATGTATCATTTTCGTAGTATTTTGAGGCGTTGAACACGATGCATTAGTAAGATTTACCTATGCTCTCTACAATTCTCAGAAAATCCACAATTTGGTGAAAACTGGCCTAAATATGGGCCAAAATTTGTTTCCATACTTGAGTATGGATTTTTTTATATGCCTGTGTGTTATTATTACAATTGCTAATAGAAACTTTAAATAGGTAAGTAAATAACACATTAACAAACAATAAAACAGTAAAACAGGTTGTCCTCCGTTTTATTCAATACATTTCTTAAAGCTTTATAAAAAATGCCTCCTAACTCGGCGAAAAATCCCCGCTGTTCCTAATAGTTTGGCACCCCTGTACTATTTTCAATTGGACATCTTCAAAATAATCTATCGATGTGATATAAACTAATTATTTTAAATGGTCGCAGAAGAAGAAACCCATGACATTTAAATATGGTGATCGAGGTGGCCGTTTCGATCTATTCATCAATGAGGAAATACTGGATTCAGATGTTCGCGAACTACACTGAAGTGTGACTGTGCGCTGTTTGTTCTTATATTCAAAGGAACATCTTTTAAATAAAGAGGAAGTTGATTTTGGAGAAAATGTAGGTATAAATCGTCATTTAATGAACCATTAAATAAAATAGCTGCTGCTTTGTTTCACTAATCGTGTGTGGATTTTCATGAGTCAATGCTAATTCATCAGATATGAGATCCTTTGGTTGTTGTGCTGATATTTTTCCAAGATGTTATGGCAGTTTTCAATTGTTTTAGCCGATAACTATCGTAAAAAGCCTGCGCCTTTTGGACATCAAATGGAAAGAACTGTTCCTCGAGATGTACTCTCCAAGAATGTCTTATTCCTACTTCAACATCAATTTTTCTAGAGTAGTTTTTGGGATTCCTTCAATCATGTTTAGAACTTTTTCTTGGGCGTCCTCTAGTTCCGTTAGAAACTATGAAAGTTCCAATTCCACGAACTTCTTTGAATGTTGGTAGATGTTGGAGAATGTGAAATATTTCTATTTGTATAATTATCTATAATATCGAGCTATCGCCGCATTTCTATTTGCTTTTCCACAACAAAAATTATACAGGGTGGGCCACCAGTAACGCCTCAGTCGCTAGTGACCAAACGGCAAATGTTACAGAAACCTGTTTAGGTGGGTATGTGTAGGTTGATTACGGCTACATTTTAAAAATATTTTGAAATATACAGGGTGTCCAGGAAAAGCGTACCATATCAAAGTTATGTATTTTTAAATGGAACACCCTGTATTTTACTGCATTTTTGAAAGCACCGTAAAAAAATAGGTGAANAACATATATATATATATATGGGCTTGGAGGCAGTTTGTTGTGTTTTTGTTTGGTGCCAGAATTAAATTTTTGGTTTGTAAACAATGGTTTCGCTGTCTTATTGCTCGTAGGATCTATTGTAATTTGTTCAAGAATTCATCATACAAGTAATTTTTTTAAATAACTGATTTAATTTAATTGCTATAGATTCTTATTTGGCAAATGCACCACGTAGATTAAGCTCTATTGTTTTAATTAGAGAAAAGTTTCATTAGGCGCCGCTAGAGGGCAGTTTACATACAATCGATAAAAGTGTTTACCATGATAGGTTACTTGAAAGGTAATAATAAATACTTTGATAAAGATACATTTTGTTCAAGTTGCTGAATGTAGCCGTTTGGCAGTAAATCGAACCTAAATTACACACACACACAAAAAGAAAGTCCAAATCGAAGAAACCCACATATCATATCCGAAGGAATACGATACGCTGAACATGATCAAAACTGTGGTCAAAATTTATTACTTGCCCATGAATTTCGGAAAAATGTGAAATTTTTCCGTGAAAACGCCTAAATATGGATCAAAACTAAATTTTGTCCAAATGTATAGTCTGTTCAGGCGCTGAATACGACTACTACGAAAGGGACAACATTTAGGGAAAAATCAGTTTTGACCAGAATTCACCCAAATAGTGGATTTTCTGAGAAATATCGCTCCTCCTCAAAATACTACGAAATTGACATATTTGGACAAAATTTAGGAAAAAATCAGTTTTGACCCATATTTGTCCAGTTTTTACCCAAATAGTGAATTTTCTGAGAAATATGGAGGTCATGGGTAAATTTTACTAATGGCATTGTGTTCAACGCCTCAAAATACAACGAAATTGACATATTTGGACAAAATTTAAGAAAAAATCAGTTTTGACTCATATTTGGGCAAGTTATCGCCCATTTTCTGAGAAATATCGAGATTAAGGGTAAATTTTACTAATGGCATCGTGTTCAGCGCTTCAAAATACTATAAACATGATATATTTGGACAAAATTTATGAAAAAATCAGTTTTGACTCATATTTGGGCAAGTTTTCACCCAAATGGTGGATTTTCTGAGAAATATCGAGATTAAGGGTAAATTTTACTAATGGCATCGTGTTCAGCGCTTCAAGATACTGTGAAAATGACATATTTGGACAAAATTTAGGAAAAAACTCAGTTTTGACTCATATTTGGGTGTTTTCGCCCAAATGGTGGATTTTCTGAGATCAAAGGTAAATTTTACTAACGGCATCGTGTTCAGCGCTTTAAAATTCTACGAATATGATATATTTGGACAAAATTTATGAAAAAATCAATTTTGACTCATATTTGGGCAAGTTTTCACCCAAATGATGGATTTTCTGAGAAGTATCGAGATCAAAGGTAAATTTTACTAATGGCATCGTGTTCAGTGTTTTAAAATACTACGAAAATGATATATTTGGACAGAATTTATGAAAAAATCAGTTTTGACTCATATTTGGGCAAGTTTTCACCCAATTGGTGGATTTCCTGAGAAATTTTCTCTTGCGTTTGGACTTTCTTTTTTGTGAGTCTATGTTATTATTACAACTGTTAACAGACTGCTAACATTAAATAATCAAATAACACATTAACAAACACTAAAACGGTAAAAAAGGTTGTTCTTCATTTTCCTCAATACATTTCCTAAAGCTTTTTAAAAAAATGCCTCCTAAATCGGTGAAAAATCCCCGCTGTGTCCCCAATAGTTTGGCACCCCTGTATTATTTTCAATTGGATATCTTCAATATCATCCATCGGCGTGGTATAACTGAGTGTTTTGAATGTCCCCAGAACAAGAAATCCATAGAATTAAAATCCGGTGACATTAAGGGTCCGTTTCGATCTATCCATCAATGAGGAAATACTGCTTTCAGATGTTCGCGAACACTGAACACACTGCAGTGTGACGGTTCAAAAGAACATGTTTTAGAGAAAATGTAGGTATAAATCGCCATTTAATGGACCGTCAAATAAATTAGGATCTATAAGGTAATCCCTTATTATCCTAGACCACATACCTATTAACAGACGTGTTGTGGTTTGGTGATATCGTTCCAAGATTCGATGGCACATGTCCAATCGCCTTGGCTAATCATCTTTCCCATTCCTACTTCAATATCAATTTTTTATTTCAATCATGTTTTTCTTCTTGCTCCACAGTCCCAATAACTTTGAAGCGTCCTCTATTTCCGTTAGAAATGTTGATCCCCATTCACCAATTTGGTGATGTTTGAGAATGTGAAATTTCTTTATTTTGATAATTTACATTCTCATCTATCAATCTAAAAATTTATGAAATAAGGAGTTTATTCCCTATTCACAGTTTGTAACATTGTGATATATTGTGATATAATAGTTACCTACTATTTGTATAAGATTACAATTTTCTGTTATGAATAACAAGATAATGATATTATGACGTATGACGATCTAAGTACACAGCGGATACGATACGTCTCTAAAACTATTTACTCACACTCTTTCAGTGACACATAAATAAACTATTATTTTAATTTGCCAGCGAAAGGTGCTGTTGTTAACCACAAGAGTTCAGTGGGGTTCGAAAAGCAAAATAACACCGTTAAAATTTTTTATTAAAAGGTGAAAAATGTGTGTAAGACTGCGAATTATAACAGAAATTTGGCAACATATGTCATGTATATAGATATACATTAGAGGTTTACCAAAATTAATTTGTAGTGATCTAGACATTATATTTTTTCTCTCTAAAACCATAAGAATGGGTCTTCATCTACAGATTCCAAAGTTCTGTCTTTCAAGTGAACTGTACGAACAGGTCTTCCTCTTGCTCGACTTATCATTAACACTCTGTATAACCCCGGGGTTAATATAGGGTCCAGCCGGTCTTTTATTGACCTTAACCCCTGTTAGATTTTTCGTGTAAATAGACACGCTATTTATCGATTTTTCCAAATGTATTGTTTATATGTAATTAAAATGTGTTTGAAACCACTATTTCAATTTTTTTATAATAATTATAATACTGAGCCGATGCATCAAATTCTAGACAAAATATAAACATTTCAAAATTTTCCAGGTAGTCGGATTGGCTAGAAGAAAACACAGGATTGAAGAATTGGCAGCAACTTTGGAAGGAAAACCCGGAAAATTGTACGCCTACAAGGTCGACATGACCAAACAAGAAGAAATCCAGGAAGCCTTCAAGTGGATCAAAGAAAACGTCGGACCTGTGCACATTCTGATCAACAACGCCGGAATCAACAGAAAAACAACAATAATTGACGGTAAGGGAGATATTTCGTGTAGTTTTACTCTATTGCTTCATCCTTTGTATAATCTCTAGCTAGTTTTGAGTCAACAACAAATAGCAACTTTATTTGGACGTTATGATCCAATTGGTGATTTTGATTTGCCATTTCGACCAAAAAGTTGACGAACTTTTCTTATTCGCTTCAATTACGGCTTATTCATCATCGTTCATTTTCTAGTAGAAAAGCTGACATCTGTAACACTATTTAGATATATCCGTAAATAAATTATAGGTAACATCGAGGATTGGAAAAAGGTCCTAGACACCAACATCTTAGGACTGGCCGTAGCTTCACGTGAAGCTATCAAAATAATGCAAGAGCACCTCATCGATGGACACATAGTCAACATCAACAGTGTCTCGGGTCACCAAGTGGCGTCTTTGCCCTTCCTGAATGTCTATCCGGCTTCCAAATACGCCGTTACTGCCCTTACGGAAACGCTGAGGAAGGAGTTGGTCGCCATTAAGAGCAAGATCAAGATATCTGTGAGTACCCAATGATAATAATGTTACTACTTATCTATGAAGACTTAAGTAACATTAGTAACTAGTATTTGGATTTAAGTCGCTACATAACAAAAGCTGAAATGATTAAAAATTGTTAAAGTTTTGCTTAATGCTGACCGACTATTGATAAAAAGTCATAAGCTTTAACAAAAAGTTACGCAGTCAAATTATTGGACGAAAGAGACTATCTATTTTGTTTCGAAATAAAAGTTAATATCGTTACGAAGAAAGAGGCAGAAGGATTAAGGAAGCATCTTCCAAAAGGTGTTATCTTGCTAGTCGTTTCGAACAATAATTCGTAAATTCCCTTGTAATAATAGTTACTTATTGTATAAGTATTTTAAGTAGCATTTTATTCACGCAAGAATGTTTAATATTCTTAAGCTTATGACTTTCTTCTTTACGATTTTATTTTTTCATTTGCAAAGAATCGAATAAATGAATATCAACATGTTTTTTTTAAGGGCAGATCCACCACCTCCAACCTTCTGTGTATAACTCAATATATCTCGGGTGTTTTTTTATTCGAATTCGCAATTAGATGTAATATACACCGATTTCACAAAGGCATTTGATCGGCTTGATCATGGTGTTTTATTGACTAAATTAAATAGTTTCGGTTTCTCAAAGGACTTAATACACTTCTTTTTATCTTATTTATTAAATCGGCATGCATTTGTTGAATATAATGGTCGGCTGTCGAAAGAATTTGTAGCTACTTCTGGTGTACCGCAAGGATCGGTTCTTGGTCCTCTTTTCTTTAATATGTTCATTAATGATATTGTGGCTGGAACTGATGTTAATTGTTTATTATATGCTGATGACATGAAGCTCTATAAGTAGTGGAAATGACTTTAAATTTACAATCTGCTTTAAATAAAATTGTTTTATGGTGCAATGTTAATAACTTACAGCTTAGTATTAAAATGTGTTATGTCATGACCTTCTCTCTCAAACAGCAACCGATTGCATTCGATTACTGTATTGATAATACTATTCTCACCAGGCCACATACCATCCGTGATTTAGGTGTACTATTTGATAGTAAATTGTCTTTTTCGTATCATAATTAATATGATTACGACGAAAGCTTTAAAGTGCTAGGTTTTGTAGTACGCTGCTCTAAGGATTTTAATGATTCCTCTACTTTTAAATTATTATATTCAGCTTTTGTTAGATCTAAATTATCCATCTATTGGTATCCCTCAATGTGACCTTTTAAATAGATTTTCATTTCGCAGTTTAGAGGAACGTAGAACGATTGCGCAATTGATATTTTTATATAAGTTATTACATAATTCAATTGACTGTGCTTCTTTACTTTCATTGTTAAATTTTCATATACCTAGATTATCATCTCGTTTTTCTTCATTATTTTATTTACCTATGTCAAGAATTAATATTCAAAAATACTCTCCTCTTTTTCAAATGTGTGATAAATATAATCTGTTTCAAAATCAGTTTGACATTTTTAATTGTAATATAGCCATAATTAAAAAAGTTACATTTACAAACTAAATTATATTTGTTTTTTGTTTTTTTCATTTATATACTGTTTTGTCTAATTGTTTACGTATGTAATGTTGTGTATTGTTACTTATCTCATATCATGTAGTGTATGATGTAGTTTTCTGTTTCTACCTACCCTGTAATTGGAATTTCTGTAGGGTAGTGTATTGTCTAAATAAATAAATAAATAAATAAATAAATAAATAAATATT